CGATATATCATTCGTTTACGCGGAGTAAATTATCGTAAGTTACTACAAAATCCCGTTTACGCAAAGAAAAATCCCGTTTACGCGAAGGAATTATCGTAAGTTACTACAGAAGTCTAACGCTCGCGTAAACGTAGTAATTGGATCTGAAGGTAAAGTTAAGCGGCGAAGTGATGCGAATACAGAGGACATAGATTCAATAATATAAACTGTTTTCCCACTTAAAGCTATTTGGTTTATAGATATACGTTTTCAATATTCCATCTTTATTATAGATATATAGATAATGATTATCAGATACAACGTCGTTTCTTATTTATTCCCGAAATAATCGCATTGCTTATCCGATGATACTTTTATATTATTGTTGTGAAGCAAGTACTCGAAATAACTTCTTTCCTAAGACATGAAAATACGAAGATATGAAATCATTTCTTACAAAATTCTACACAAGGATTTCACGTACGGCAAGATAAAATTATTTTTAACACAAAATATCCAGTCAGACAAAGAGGAAGATTATTTCCTCATTAAAAAAACACAAGTAAAGAAGATAATAGTACCTAATTTCCCTTATTGTCTGCGTGCTTTTCGAGAAATATGATACAACACGATTTATTAGATTAAACTTACCGACATTGTGCGCAATTCCCGAAGCATCTCGTCTGAGTTAGTAATCAACGTGTGTATTTAAGGCTCCTGGGGGTACTCGCTGCGACCATGTTAGATCGTGACGTTAGAGGCGAAAATTGACATGCTGAGAATTCTTGCGTGCCATTTCCAAATAAAAAAAATATTTGCAAAAAATAACACTTCAAATTATTTCAGCACACTTCAAAAATACTCCGAGGTCTATCCCTTTCCCTTGACAGTTAATAAACAGCCGTAAAATCAATGTAATACAAAGTCTAGTCGTAACCTTGCGCACAAGTTTACATGACTAGACTTCGTATTACATTCAGTAATATAATGTAATATAAAGCTGAAAGAGAACTTTTATTAGACTGAAGCAATGATGACATTCAATTGTAGATTATTTCATAAGTGTCTCTGTTCATATGGTCTCTGCATTGCATTGGTGCAACATGCAATTTACCTGGATTTAACAAATTAGAGCGTCTTCTGCTTGATTTAATATTTTTGTACTTTGTACGTTAAGATTAGTACAAGTCGTGTGAGACTTGAAGAGCTACACGATATATATGTGCAAAGGACTTTAACAAGATTTACTCTGTAATATACAATTCTGAGAACTTTCCTGGGTGACCAATAAATCCTTACTCTTCTTAAATAAGTCCTCAGACTTCCTGAAATAATGTTGAAGACGTTGCATATATTTTTACAAATACTTTATTAAACATTGCAAAGTGTGGTACATGGTATCACAACGTTGTTATATTCATTGCATGTATACGTTACGATTACACATTATACATCGGATTCACGAACACGAATATCTATACAGAGGAGTACAATACGTTCGTTCTTACATTGCAATTTCGCTCGCTATAACGCAAGATCATTACAACTCTTGTCTTAGAACAGTTCTCTTCGCGAATACCATGCCTATTTCAAGGAATCAACTTGCAAATTAGCACACGTTTGATAAATACAATGCTATTTAAAGATCCTCCCGAACTAAGGATTCACCCTCCTAATATCTACACCCTACGTCTGCAAAACAGTTTTATTAAATCTTCACAGCCAACGACTAAATTAAAAGTCCTCCCGCATCTTCGCGCCATATTCGTATTCTTATTTAAGAATTATAACTTATAACTGGTACAAGTTTTTTGGGGAGGAGCGCAGATTTAACTTTACTTCTACCACGACCGAAGAATTCGCGTAACAATACCAGCGCGCGAAAGCCGATAAATATATTCCCTCCTCGAAAGTACAAGTCAAAAATTGAAAAATCCTCTTAAATCCGTCTTGTACGTTGTCGCGTTGTAATTTTACATGTAAGATTTACGTAAATAAAGCTTGCGGTCGCCTTCTGTTGCTACTATTAAAAAATCATGACAATTACATAGGTATTGTAATACGTAATTTTTATATATTGTAACATTTAAAAATTATGGAAATTATTAAAAAGGAAAATCATATATAAATTTCTGAAGCAGACAACAGTTTTCGGTGATGAAGGAATTCATACGATTTCTCGCCTTTGGCGTGACAATTTCATATGATTGCAGCGAGGCAACAGGAGTCTTACAACTGTTACAATGTAAACAATAATACGGAGTGCCCCGCACTTCGTGTAAGTAGTAGCTAAGTTTTGTACATAACGGCAAAGTCAATTCGCCGACTGCTGTAAATATCTAAATTAAGTAATTTCACAAGAAAGATTCGATTACGCAGTACGGCTTTATGCGCCGTCAAATCAAAGGCGGAATACCTTCAAATACAATAGATTCGCGCGACGCGATACATAAATCAATTTATATTAATCTGTCCCAGATGCCAAGTCGATATATAAATCTTACTGCGTGCCTCTGACTAATTCTAAACTGATTCGGTTTCATCATACGCATGTCTATTAAATACATATCGATTCTTGTGCTAATAATCATTATTTCGCCAACATATTAGATACAATTTTCGCATTTCGTAATTACTCTATGTAAGTAGCACACAATCTGTAACAAGTTAATATCTCACTACTTTAAACTTCTAACAAATTTTTAATGGTGGCGTTTAATGGTAAAAAAATATATTATTTACATATTAGATACTATATTACGTAAGAAAAACAAAGATATATATATATTTTTTTAATATAATCATACAATTGGCGAGTAAATAATGCATTTTCCATTAAGCCACCGCTAAGAATCTGGCAGATGTTTCGAATAATTATATAACAATAATCACTATTATAATATAATAAGATATCAAGGTATAACAGATCGTGCGACTCACTCTGTACATATCATGACTTTCATCACATTGAGAATACTATAATTATTATATAATTATATATGTATATATATTATATAAACCTAGCGAAACCGATAAATGTGTAAATCTGTCCCGACTAAATGTATTCTTCGTCTTCTTTGTTTTATATCTATTAAAAATTGCATAGGAAGCACCGGTTTCTCAAAAGCCCTACAACAATAAACAAGATTGAGATTCTTAGAGTACCATGTCGCGAGTTTCCGGCGTCGGTTGCGATGTACAATCGCTTAAAAAGACTCGTCATCAAAATCGGCAGCACGTTATGATATCAGATATTATCAGTTGATCCTGATTTTTGCAATTAATACGGTCTTTGATAATCCGTTGACTATGTGAAAAATTTCTGAAATAATTTAGAATATTATTAATTTACAATGGTGATAAACGATAGATATGTACAATCTAAAATCACTATGCGACCGATTTTGAACTAACAACCGGACAGGAATCGAGGGTGAGCGAGCGAGGTGAAAACGAAACGGTCAATCGGCTATATAGAAAGATTTTACAAGTGTCTACCGACCAGACCAGGCAGGGCGACTCGTGTGTGCAGCGGTAGTGGTCCCGGACTAACTTCTCCCATCATCATCACGGTCCCCAACTGTCCCACAAAGTATTAAACACACATCAAGGATCGACTTCAGAACCATATATCCTCTCACATGTATGCCGTTTGACGTTAATCAATTACATTCAATCGGTGCGTCAGAGAATTTTTACGTATCGCGTACATATCAGATTGTAACGTTATTTACAAAAACCGGTCCGGTTGATTATGTCATCGTCGTCATCGAGATAGACCTGAAATCTAAACTTCGAATCGAAACTCGACTTCAAAGTGAGTCTAACTCGCGAGACTAGAAAATAAAACTTCTCTAACTCTATTTACAAAAATCTGCAAGGTACACGCTAATTTGTCAGCAGAAAGCACATTATACTCCAATTTCGATTTTCTATTTTGTATATATGTAATTTACTTGGAATTTACTATTTTTTATAATCTGCTGTATAATATAATATTGTATATTTTTATTAAAAAAAAAAAAAAAATGACAACAATAAAACCAAACAAAGATCATGGTTTCGTTGCCTAAAGTATCATGCCTAGAAACTATGTTGTGTCTGCAATATTGACTTTGTTATCAAATCATAAGTAATAGCAGTTATATGTTGATACGGACATAAGTGTATGAGCCTGTAATATACCGCCAGAGAGATATCTTAACGAGACTTAAAGGAATTAAGTGTCCAATAAAAACTCCTCGATAACGTTAATTTCTAAAATTAGTAACGATTCAGGAAATATATCTACACTTAGCTAACGCTTAACAATTCCAGACTTAAACGTATATTCGTGGACAGATCACCGACAACAATTACAAAATTATATATAATATCGGGTCGATAAAATAAATCTTAAGACGCCAAAAATATCATGTTCACAACTGCGATCTACGTGCAGAGCTCCTGACGCTCGTCTGTGAATAAATAATATAAAAATATACAACTAAAAACAGAAAAACAATGTAAAGTAAGTAGAGAGGTACGTGTGAAATAGTACATTACGGCATGCAGATATTAGACGGATAAGTATGTCGGCAGCGCGATCATTACGAGATGATTAATCCCAGAGATCTTTCCGCATTAAAAAGTTGACTGCATGCAAAAAAATGTTCGTAGATTACAGGGGACGAAAAAAGTATCCGCACGCCCCATTCTTTTGACGGTCTTACGCAAAGAATAAGATTAATGTTACGCTATTACAAACGAAAACTATCTATCCCAATCTATCCTGTTAAGAATATTCGCGCAAAGTCATTCCAGAAAATACGAGACGTGTGAATACTTCTTTTTCACTTGTGTCAGCTTACAAATGAATAGTAACTTTTCACCGAGCGTGAACAAGTTTCGCGGAGGCAGGATTAAAAGATCACAGCAGCAACAGAGCCTTCAATGTCTTTTCTGTTTTTACATTGCCAATCGCAATCAATTGTCGCGTAATTAGAATTAATGGATACAGAAAATTATGTTTAATGCTCGATAATTTGAACGTCGCGAAAAGTTTGGCAAATGTTCCAGTGTTCAGAAAAGGAAGAATTCGGGAACGTTTGCTCACGATATTCGCACGTTAAAACTAAATTCCGAGAAATGTCTTGTTGAGATAAAAAAAAAAACGTTTTTTATTCAGTTCAAGTATTACATACTCACCAAGCCCCGAATTTCCTCTTCTTCTAACACTCTTTATCTATAGATAAAATGTTTACAACTCGAAAAAAATAACAAAGCGGCATATCACGATCTCCACTCCCTACATTAACGCTAGTCGTACATGTTAATACTTTCAGAAAAATCACCGCGCGATATGACCTACTCGTAATTGTTCAAAGAGAAGAATCTGTCTTTTGCTGCACCGATCTTAGGTACACATGGACATGGATAGTTCGTCGATCGTTTTCCCGGCTATAACGTTCGTAACGGAATGAATCCTCCCATTCCGATGATTCTGAGGTCTTCGTCATTGGAATCGGAATCATCATCATCATCATCACTGTCATCATCATCGTTTCTTTCTCTCTAGAAAAACCGATGAAAAAAAAAAAGATACGGTCAAACGTGCGCTCTGCAAATATCTGACTGTGATTTTTTTTCCCTGAAGAGAAGAAAGACAAGACACAAGCGCAAAAATAGGCCGAAGAGAAGTTCGTCCTCTGTACATTAAACATAATTTTCGAGTTTATAAATAAAAAATTTCCACCATTATGCAATACGAAATATCACACGCTATTGTCCATTCATTAGTTCTCGTTATGTGTCTATCGTAGGCAATCATTGACTAGAATAATTATCTGCTTTACAGTTATAAAATCACCTCGACAGAAAAGAATACACAGTTACGAGGAGTCATTCGCACACAACGGCGATTGGCTCGTTAACATCTTACCATTTGTCAATTTATGCACTATATTAGTATAAGATTGGGCAGAGCAGAAAAAAGTCGGTTTGCATTAACAAACAGCATACGTACATTTTTCCCCTTATTCTTAAGCAAGCAGGTTTGTTAAAAATTCACGGTGTATTTACAGTTGCTATTGTCGTTTTTGAAATTGAGACACTGAGTGCGATAGCAGTATAAAGCTTAAGACTTTACTATTTAATTGGTGACAAGTCATCATTACAATTACTATATATTATACACTAAATTATTTGATTGTAGACCTGATTTTTCTCCATCTTTTAAAATTAGATTTCAAACTTTTAAACTCATTCCCCCCCGCCCCCTAAAAATACCGTTTTTCGAAATATGCTGCTATTGCACTCGAATTCTCGATTAAAACCTTTGCGACCTCCTGTCGCTGTTGCCATTTCACTCGAAAGATCAACTTGGAAATCGAAAAGAAGAGAAATTATATCGTCCAGATAAAATTAATTTTACGTGCAATATAGACATTCAAGCTCGTGTTTTATATAGAAGAACGAAAAAAAGAAGAGGCGATTATATTATGTCAAATATGAAGTGACGTTCACGCGATTACATCTTACGTATTGTCTGTATTGCTCATACATACAGCATAGAGAACATGCGTAGAAATGTACAGTGTATGTACATACACACACGTAGCCGCAGGCTATTGTTGTTTACACTCATAATCAGAGTTGGCGCCACTAATCATTGCGTGTGTAAACCGGCCTTAAGAATTTAAAAAAGAAACGAAATATAAAATTCAATCGTCAAAGATATCACCTTCGTGTAAAAACAAAAGACGTGAAATCTTTGGCGAAATCAAATATGACTATAATAAACGAATGCGAATGCATATAAGTTACGTAAGAGTTAATTAAATAAATTATAATTCCTCGTTTAACGCGTTCGAAATATGCATATTCGATACTTTCAATCTCCCTCTTTCCCTTCCTTCTGTTTAAAAAGATTTAGATACACAAAAGGTGGTGATGTTAGGATTGCTGTTAGTTCTACCTTCTGTGTAAATTGAGAATTACATAGGGCTCGTCCGGATTAGTGCTGACGTCTGTGGTGCTGTTGTTAGGCTGATAGCACGGGTTAACAGTGTAATTGAGATTAGGCTGATGGAAACTCACCGGCTGAACACTGGTCCTGCGTCGCTCCATCTCGCGATCTTCCAAGCAGAAGTCCGAATCCGAATCGACTTTTCTTGCAACCTCATCCTGTCGAAATGTAATGTCATTAAAAATATTACAAAATTATTTTAATTCATAATTATATTCTATCATATTCAAACAATATATAATATAATATAACAGACGTTATATAAAATATTATAGCTGGTATAAAATGAGCTTTTCAGTGTACAATGAATTTAGGCACTGTACCTGCGTCATCTGTTGCGTGGTCGTGAGGATTCTCGCTAGCGGACTACAACAGACCGGCAACGTTTCCAATAACGTAGGCCTAGAGTGCGTTAACAAGGGCTTCATATATTTGGTATCGAAATCGCCCCAAATTCTGGCGAGCAACGCCTTCTCGTTAGGCTTTGTGCCACCGATACCACCGCTGCCACTGCCGCCGCCTGGCAACGATCCGTCCTGCATAGAATTATACTGTAAAATGTGAACAAAGCATCAGTTATCCATCCTGTATGATTCTGCGAGCTTTCCATCTTTAATCTTTAAACAAAAGTAGGCCCCTCTCCCCCCTCTATTAGTCATATAAACATATATTTATTAACACATTAAAATAAGATTCAAATAGGTGTACATTATTTTTAATTCTTCCCTTTAAGCAGAAAAGTATATAACAACGTTAACAGCAATATATTAATGACAGACCTTTTTAGATGTTTGGAGTTATTTTCGTTATTAGTTATAAAAAATGCATCCTTACTTATTGATCGTAATTCTGGTGTTCCGTATTTTAAACATGTCTGTGTGTGTAAGTACTGTTAATAAATGTAAGTATCTCAGTGTTCTCCAACTATTCTTCAACATACAGAATGGATAACAAAAACCATACTAAAAAAAATAACCAGAAGCACAGTGCAGTCAAATTCAATTAAAAGCCTTAATGAAATAAATCTACAACTTGCATATAGACAGAGAAATCATATAAATCATATGATAGATCTGCATTCACATGGTACAACAATAACAAGGAAAAAAAATCACTTTTATTTCAATACAGATATTAAGCAACACTTGGTGCATGCAGCTACTTTTATAAGAATTGTATGGTATAATCATGATGCGTGAGCTATATATTCATATACATATGTATATTAATGTCTCATTATTTGTGTGTGAAGAATAAATCGATCTGAGTCATCAAAAAAAAAAAAAAATCAAGTTATCTAAACTCTCAATTTGTTAAACAGGAAGACGGTGCGTCAAGTCAATCTTTAATTGTGATAACATACCGGCGGACTTCTTCCCCTACGCATGTCCAGATCACCGTAGCCACCCTCGCCGCCAGACTATTAACATTGATAAATTAATTGTCTTGTAAATCGCAGCACTCGTGCACGCGTTCTCTTAACCGCGAATCTTTATAATTCACTGTCGAATGTTACAAGGTAACAAACATGCATGCTAGTTCAGAAATGCGGGAATCAAACATAATTTCGGTAGAGCAATTTCGTATGAGTGATAGTCGTGATTCGAAAATTGCAAAACATTTCACAGAACACGAAGCGTATACTTTTAACTACCAGAGAGAAAACATTTTCATACAGCTGTAGCTATATACCATCGGAAAATTGAGCTCACTGACATTGTACCGGTCTTGATACAACTGATATAGCATTGTCTTTCTGAATCTGTGATACTCTGATACTACTTTTCCGACACTAAAAGAAAAGAAAATCAATGGGAGCGTGGCAAAATAAAACTCTCCAAGCTCTAATTTTACAATTAACGAGGAGATTCGGCTGATCGGTACGCACCCCGACAGTATCCAATGAATTGTACACCTAGATAAAAGCGACACCGTAAAAAGAAATCGTTATACGAAATTACGAACCAGTAAAGCTTGCATGCAGAAATGTCTTCGCTTTCATGTCTTTTTAAAGCAAATACTCTCATCTATAATCCTACAAAGTATAAGAACATTGCTTTACACATGCAAAATTTCGCTGGATCGAGATAATCGATAAATCTAACTACCGATCACACTTAGCCATGTACAGTGTCGAAATTATACAAAACGCATAAACATGTTAATGTGTGTGTGTGTGTGTGTGTGTGTGTGTGTGTGTGTG